CCACAATCATTGGGTCCAAGTGTGTTGTTTTGATTATAATATGAAGGGATACAAAATCTGATTACAAATGCTCCGCTATTAAGCCAGGTGCTTGTGATGGCACAGCTGCTTCCTACTTCCTCCATCAGCCCTAGAGACCTCAAAGGACTGCAGTAAGCAAAGGACGTCAACCACTGGCTTGTTTTCAAAGGAAAGCCATCTATACAAACACAGGCAGCAACAACAAAAACAACTTGGCTGTGTGGCCTTGGACAAGTGACTTACCCTCTTTAAACTTCACTATCCTGATTTTACAGATGAGGAGACCCCTAGGGCATCCTTTGAGGTTGGGGATTAAACATGAGGGATGCATAACTGCTTGACACTGAGTAAGTGAGCAAAGTGTCTTAGCTGGTATATCCAGCCTTTTAATGACGAGCCTCTGTCGGAGGGAGGACATAAAAATTCTAAGCGATGACTCCTGCCCTGGCCTTGTCCACCACTTAATTACCTTTATTTTCTGAGCACCTGTGTGACCATTTTTGAAAAGAAGTAATTTTTTTAAAAGATGCAATGTGACAGAGGCTGAAACTTTTCTCCTTTATTTGACTGCTTAGGTGAATCAAAGCACTTTTTAATAGAATTTTTCCTCCAGGCTCAGAAGACAATGTCCAGGAACTACCCTACTGAAGGGGCAGCTGAACTCTGATGGGTGGGGTGTCAAAATAAAAGAAAAGTCCTTTTTGATGAAGCGAATGAGCAGGACTTAGTCCTGTTATATTTGGAGATCGGCAAATATACTGCAGCAAATTCTGCAGCTCAGGAAAACCTCTGGGTTACTAATGCAGGTTTGCAAATATAGCAACCACAATGAAATGGCTACTTTTAAATGATTTCCTATAATGGTGCTTATATATGGAAGCTTTTTTCCCTATTGAAGAAATTTAATTGGAAAATGGCAAAGGAATAAGAAGAGGCAGATGGCCAATTCCGATGAACAAACACGCTGCGCCGTGTGAGCAGCCTTAATGAACTCCTCCTTGTTGTGTCCAAGTCCTCCTGGGGGATCCAGCAGAGCTGCCCCTGCTCAGAGCACCCTCCTCCTCACCTGCTCCAACCCGACTCAGCCCCGGATTCCTGCTTGGCTGTGACTTCTGGGAAGCATTCTTCCATGCTCCTGCCCAAGGGTATCGCCAGGGCCACTGCAGGCCTGCTACGGGGTTATAACTGAACTGTGAGGTCTTCCCTGTGGACCTACCTGCATCCTCCAAAGAACTGTGAGCTCTGGGATGGGGTTCGTTCACTGCTGCTCAGGTATCTCCTACATGCAGGCACTGCTATGCTGGTAACTAGGCAGGTGAAGTCCCTGACCGCATGGAGCCTGCACTCTGACATGACAGCCAGAAACACACAAGGAAATGAGTACAAACACAGCATCCACAGGGAGTGTTCCATGCTATGAAGGAAAATGAAGCAGGGAAAGGGAGGTGAGCAGCTCCATGAGAGTGAGGGATGTGGCATGACTCTAGAGGGGAGGGCAGGGGCCTCTGCGGAGACAGCGGGTGAGGAAGGAGGGCTCCAGGCCCGAGGGAACAGCCAGCACAGAGCCCCGGGACAGGAGAAGCAGCTCAGATTAGAGGAACAGTAAGTCAGGAGGCCAGAGTGGCTGGAGCTAGAAGGAAAACAGGACAAATGGCCAAGGAGGAGGCCGGAAGCAGGGAGTGCCCTGTATGCTGAGAAACCTAGAGGTCACTCTAGGCTTGAAGGACTCAAGGGTGGGCACACAGTGATCTGCCAGCAGGTTCTGTCTTTCATCCCCAGTACCTAGCACAGCCCCAAGTGCGTTTGCTGACTAAATGAAAAAAGGCTTCTATGTGTGGGCAGAGAACACGAGCCAACATGGGGCAGGGAAGGTCACTCCTCTCCAGGAACTCAATCTTCTCAGGAAAGCGGCTACCACCAGTCACAATTATCCCATGTATTTTAAAATGAGAAACAGAGTGAAAAGAATGGTTTGGGAAAATGAGGATGCCCCAAGGTGCAGGCAGGAGGACACTGGCTTCTGTGTGGGGACCAGGGCTACAGATGCCACCTCACGTCAGGAGGCCCAAGAAGTCCTGAAGGAATGACATCCACATAAGTGGGTTTATCCCTGCATTTCCCAAACTAATTTAATTAGGAAACTTTGTTGGAGTGCGGGTCACTTATTAATTCTATAAAACACAGTTTGAGAGAAGAGAATAGAGGAATCAATGCAGGGCTGACACTCTGCAATGATGAACAACTTCTAGGCTGTTTAAATCTGTCTGGCTGCCTAAGGCTGGACGACAACAGAGTCCTGAAGCTTGGGGCTGGAGGATTAGAGATTTATGACGCCTGTATGAACTTGGCATGCTGATATGAACTTAGCATGCTGGTATGAACCTGGCACATGCATGGTCTGGTTGTGGGGAACTGTGTGTATTGTAACATAAAGCCTGGGACCGGTCAGGCTTCAGTTTAGTTGGAGGAATTGTCTTCACTCCTCAACACACTTCTGCCTGGCTTCAGCTGCTACCAATCAACAGCTCTCAATGGCTTTGACGAATTTTATTTGGACTTAGATGTAATCCAGACTTCTGATCGCTCCTTCCTTATTAGAGCCTCCTCTGCCCCACTGGCTTCCAGAACACCAGTCTCCTCATTTTATTTCTACATCTTTGGCTGGCTGACTGGTGCACTGGTTGATTACCTCATTTATCCAATCCCACTACTATCTTTGAAGACATATTACATGCCAGGCCCTTTGACTGTCTCTGAAGATGTACCAGGAGATGAAACAAACACACTTCCGCCTAGTGGAATTTAGTAGGAGAGTCAGTCAAGCAAATAAATACTCTTACACAATTTAAAACGTCAACGTGATAGAAAGATACAGATAGGACAATTATGGAGTCAGCAGCTGTCATCTGTAAACACCCAGATGTCTCCCAGCTGCTTTTTTTCAGCCCAGGGTTAGAGATTTATGAACCCTGTATGAACTTAGCATGTCGGTATGACCTTAGCATACTGGTGTGAACTTGGCACATGCATGGTCCAGTTGCAGGAAGTTGTGTGATTCTAACAGAAATACACACAACTTTAATTAGTTCCCTAATTGAATAAAAAGCTCCTTGGTTTTTTAACTGAATACCTGCTGCCTTCTGAAGCATCTCTGCTTGAATACTTCAAGACACTATAAACCCATGGACAAACAAAACACATGATCTCCACCTATCATATCGTTTCTGCCCCAAGCAAAACAAAACTCAAAGCAAAACCACCTGGTCCTACTTCTTATGTGCCCTATTGGCAAGTGGCTGTGTTGTCCATCTATTGGGCAAAACAAACTCTTAGGGTATATACACCCCTCCACCTTCAATCGGTTTCCAGTCCTTCAGCAAATCTTGCCAATTTTACATCTTTATTAAATCTCAGCTGCTACCACCCTAATCTTAGCAACAATTTTGCCCATCTAGACTTCTGCAACAGTTTCTAAGCTAGCCTCCTCAACTCATTCTTCACCTATGGATTCTTTTCCCACACTACAGAGTGACAGATTCAAAATGCAAATCTGATTATCTTATTCCCTTCCCCCACTATTAAAATCTTTCAGTAGCCTCTTGTGGATCTTTGGGTAAAGGCTAAAGATGGTCTCTAGGGTGGCCTGAAGGCTCTGCATGGTCTAGTTCCTGCCTACCTCTACAGGCCCCCTCTCACACCTCTGTGCCCTCCATCCATGACCATCTTCTGTCACCTCAAATGCGTTCTTTTCCCTCACTGGATGCTGTCTCTTCCTTGACCTGCTTAATTCCTACAGATCCTCCAGATCTGAGGTCAAATGCCTCCTAGAGGAAGGCTTCTTGTAATCCTGGACTGAATCGAATTTCTTTGGATATACTCTAATAGTATGTGTTCCATAATGTTGTAGCACTTACAAGCTTTTAGTCAAACCTTAATATGTAACATTTGATTCAAATCTCTCTCCAACAAAATTTTAACTTCCAAAAAAACACTATAAAACTCAAGAAAACTCACTATACGCACTCTTCTTTCTCCTGTTTCTTCTTCCATCTTTCTCATACATCTGAACATGTCCTAAGATGTGATGCTCCTCCCTCTTTTGACTCCACACCATTCAACCACAGGGATCACCTTAGCTCAGATAACTTGTGGTGAACCAGCACCAAGCCTCTTTCCTCAACCTCGATCTCTTTCCAGGTAGGCAAGTACCTCCAAATATCCAGGTAGGCAAGACCAGTGGTTTTGCAACATTTTGACTCAACCCACAGTTAGAACATTTATTTGACAACTTACTACCTACAAAGATGCAAGAAACAAATTTCATGAAACAATACTATCACTTGCTTTCCTATTCGCTTTCATTTAAAAGATACTTTTTCATATAATTTCAAGACCCAATAGTAGGTCACAACCTGCAGTTTAAAATACACCATACCAGATATTTACACATGGGTATTTCTCTGCAACCTCAAACATAATATGACTATTTCCCAACTCATTTCTCAATGAAGCCTCCTTACTAAGGAACATATGACCATTCTCTTAGTCACTTAGGAACAACACATTGGAGTCATTTTGGATTCCTCCTTCTCACCCAACCCAAGGAGATGTTAGAACCTACTGGGGTTCTTCCATTGCAGTGTGTTGGCCCCCATCCCATCCCTTCCATTCCCACCATCATAGTTCAGATATTACCGTAACTTGGAATACTGAAATGGCCTTTTAAACTGGCTCACTACTTCCAGAATTTTCAAATATAAGTGACTTATGTTTGAATCACAATTGTATCAGGGCAGAAAGCTTCAGTTCCATTTTGACCAACAAAGTAATGTGTAAGGGAATGAAATACGTGTGACTTCATCCACTCAGCAAACTCCTTGAAAAATTAAATTTTAATTAAGGCTGCCTCACATTTATAAAATTTCTATTACAATTCAGAAACCAAACTCTGGCTTGGTGCTAAGGGCAGGCAGACTCACCCATGTCAGCGGTGACCATGGTAGACTGGTTTTCGGGGATGGAAACGGAGGTCTGGTCTTGGTCCATGCTTCGAGAGTCCTCGTTGACCTCGTGTTGACTCTGGCTGAGCTCTGATCGCAGTTCTGAGTACTCATCTTCCTCCCTGAGGAAAAAGAAGAGTTGGCCACTACTGAAAGAGGATGTAAGATACCCCCCTAGAGAATATGTCTTACAAGGACAAGAAAAAGACATACAGAGAGAAAACAGATTTCTCCTCCAGGCCACATGGACCAGCATTCGTCTCAGGCCAAACAGATGGTCATTATCTATGGTTGTGAGTGAAGCTGAAAGATTGCTTCTGTGTCCATATAACATACCTATATATCGAATGAGATTCATCTATCAGCCTGCAGAAACTCTTCCCCTCTAAAGATTTCCTGAAGAAACTAGATTTCTTCACCTCCTCAAATTCCGAGGGAAAAAAGAACGAAGACTAATAGCACTGAGACTACCGTGAACCAAGTAACTAAGAGTCTAGCAAACAGCAACACCATACTCCACCACCTGGAGGGGCCCACAGGGGCTTCCTTCTTAGAGGAGGCTGAAGGTTGGGCATAGGGTTGGAGCTATTGGGAAACCAGCACCTCATCAGTGATCAAACTAGACTTTTTTGAAAGGTATATGGATCAGCATGTCCAAGACAGACTAGGCTTCCCCAAAGAAAGTAGGTGGAATTAGCGGGTAGGAATAGAGGATGTAATGTGGAGAAAACAGAACACTGAGTGAGACAACACCGCTCGATGGTCTATTTCCTTTAATTTGCACATGAAAACAAGAAGACAACATTTAAACCCCACTAGGTTTTATTTGTATACACACATCTACCTCTTCTCAGCCCTTCAGCCTCTAGGCTCTCCATTGTACTATTAGCAAGCTGAGAAACAGAATTGCAATATGATTTCAGAGCAAGTGTACTGTCCCCTTCCCCTACCACCACCATCACCACACATACACTCACCACAGGCACGGAGAGAGCAAAATGAACCCTCTTTGAAAGATCTATTTTGCAATTGAGCCAGGAGGGGAAACTGTCAGGGGATTTAACTGGGAGTAGAAAGCCCACTCGGGTCTGCTCAGCTTCAAGGGCAGGGTGTCTGTGAAGAAAGCTAGGAATAGGAGAAATCCTCTCAGCCTGGAATTCATTTTAAGTTGTCAACAACCAGAGGAGAAGAAAGTCTACAGTGTTGGATTCTGGGTGAACCAAGATGATGAGTGGTGATCATTAGGGTTTAGGGAGGCAAGTGGGAGAAACATCTATAAATCAGAGGAATGTGAACCACAGAAATCTTAGTTCTCTCAAGATACCAAATTTCTCCCAGGAAAGGGATTCAGCTGAGCCCCTGCTTTATACGGTATTGTTAATAAAAGCTACCCAGAAAACTGGGAAAGCTTTATGCAGATATAAGGCCCAACGACATGCAAAATATGAATTAGAAAGGTAGTGGTGAAGGCCAAAAAAACCACAGACTGATGTTCTATGAATGAGTTAATTATTAGACATCTGCAAAAGTCAACAATAATTAGGTTTAGGAAAGAAAGCGATTAAAAAGCACTCTTAAGTGCCTTTTTGGGCTACAGGATAATTGTGCACTAATAGATACATTAGCTCTCCTTTCAGTCAGCACTTAAAATTCTGATTTTAGTTAAGGGGAGATTGTGTGTATGATGAATAAATTACCTTTGTTACATGACCAACGTAATCAGCTTTGGCTCAGCTGAGACTTTTTTGCAGCCAAGAAAGCAAGTGATAAATGCTGCTGCTGTTTCCTTGGTATAAATGGCATTTGCAAAATCTTTAATAGCCACCTTAATCCCTCCTGGCTTGGCAGGTCCCAAAACATATAGTTCCTGCCAAATCTGCTTTGTACTGAATTACTTCTAGAGATTACTAGAATGAACTTTATAAAGGAGTGAAGCAGGAAGGTGTGGGAGAGGGAAGCTGTTATTGTAAAACATTCCCTCATGAGGTCAGAGAATAGTCTGAAGGAGAATCATACCACATTAGGCAGAAGGTTTTCTGTGTCATCAAATGCAAACTAAAAATCCCCATTCAACATATTTGAGCACCAAAACAAAGACAGGAACACAAAGACTGTATAGATTCCATCTTCAAGGAGACAGAGATGTTCACAACCTAAGGAGGAGGCTGTGGGTGAACACAGGTGGAATACTTGGGGCTGCCAGTGGGGAGCAACCACGGAAGATCTCCTGGGTGGAGCAGCGCTCAAGATGAGTCTCAAGGCAAGTAGATTTCAGTTATGTCACGAGTGTGGAATAGCACAGGCAAAGGCTCAGAGGAGCTGCAAACGTGCAGAACTTGGAGGGGAGCAAGTGGTTCGCTATGGCTGAAACCAAAATATGGCACAGGTTGGAAACGTGAGGCTGGAGAGGCCTCAGGCTAGTTTGAGCAAAAGGAAAATATATTGCACTGGAGGATGGAAATAATCAGGGTTAGATGGAAGAAATAAAAGTACAACGTGGGAAGTCTAGGAATTCAGGGGAAGGAGTAAATATTGCCAAGGTCTTATGTGGGAACAGATAAAATGAGAAGAGAAATATTCTAGAATAAAAACAACACATGCCAACAAAGTAAACAGTAATTAGAGGTGGAAAGCTACCTTTCGAGAATGGAAGATTTTGTGCCACAAAAAATGAAGTATAAAAAGATTAAACTGAGCTTAAATATTAGAAAGTTCATGGAGCCCTGTTGTGTCTCCCACTGACTTTGGTAAGAAATCACAGAGCTGCATATCCTTATCTATCATTGGCATTATTCCTGAAGGGAGGCTGTAATCTGAGACTGGGAAATGACAAAGGCAATTCTCAAAGGATCCTCTTGATAATCAATTTGTGATTGCAGTATATGTGGCAGACTGATGATTGGGGGTCTTCTCTACCATTCAGGAACATTGTTACACCAGGAGCAATGGATTAAGTAAAAAAACACTAAGAGTCCCTGGCAGTTTTACAAAGACAAGGTTTTGAGTTGTCTTCTACAGTGGCTCTGCACAGCATCGAGGGTGCCTGGTGAGGACGTCTGGCTAATGACGTGGCAGCAACAGCATCTCAAGATGACTTCCGTTTGTTGTATATACAGGCATTCTTCTCAAGCAATAACATTTCTTTTGGAAAAAAATGCCTCCCCTCCCCCCCAAAAAAACTGGTGATGAAAAAGATGAAAATGTAAGAACACAAAAAAAGTGGCCATTTAAAACCAGAAAAATGGCAGCTGCGATAAATGTTGAACGTGACACTCTTTAGTGGTAGGTTTGTAACACTGGAATGACAAAGCTCTCAGGTGTTTCTCCTTGGAACATAGGGTCACCTCACAGGCTTCCAAATGCATGTTATTTCATTCACTTAGAAGCATCTGTGAAGTGCTTCCAAGTTGCTTTAAGGGATGCAATGATTAATGCCTGTTCCTAGCTTAAACAACAAAGTACAACAAATGCTTCTAAGGAGGCAGGCATTAGGTTGGACACTTGCCTATGTGATGACCAGCAGTGGCAGAAAAGTCACAGGCTGGCAGACTGGAAAGGATTTTAAAGACTGTCTTAGCCAGGACCCCAACTTTACTTTATAAACAAGACAAATGGGGCTTCAAGAGGCAACTTACTGTAACCATTAGGCTTACTGCACAGCCTAATTCCTAAATTTTGTACCAATGAGACAACATGTAGTTGACCCTTGAACAACATGGATTTGAACTGCATGAGTCCATTTATATGCAAATTTTCTTTCAATAAGTATGTTTGAAAATGGTTTGGAAATTTGTGACAACTTGAAAAAAACTCACAGATGAATTATGTAGCCTAGAAATAAAAAAAAATTAAAAAGGTATATCATGAATTCATGAAATACACGTTAGGTTGATGCAAAAGTAATTGCAGTTTTTGCCATTCAAAGTAATGGAAAAACCCAACTGCTTTTGTACAACCTAATAGTTTATGTGTTAATCGACTACTTATGTATCTGTAAGGCTTCAAGTCAACAGTAGACTATTAGTAATTAAGTTTTTGGTGAGTCATAAGGTATATGTGGATTTTTAATTGCACAATGTAGGGGAGGGATTGGTGCCACTATCCCTCATACTATTGGGGTTTTTTAACTCTTATTTTAGGTTCATGAGTACATGTGAAGGTTGGTTATGTAGGTGAACTCATGCCATGTGGGTTTGTTGTACGGATTATTTCATCACTCAGCCCAATACCCAGTGGTTATCTTTTCTGCTCCTCTGCCTCCTCCTAATCTTCACCCTCAAGTAGGCCCAGTGTCTGATGTTCCCCTCTTTATGCCCATTTGTTATCACTCAGCTCCCATACATAGTATTTGGTTTCCTGTTCCTGTGTTAGTTTGCTAAGGATAATAGCCTCCAGCTCCATCCATCTTACTGCAAAAGACATGAGCCTATTTGTTATGGCTGCATAGTATTCCATGGTGTATACGTACCATATTTTCTTTATCTAATTTGTCACTGATGGGCATTTAGGGTGATACCATGCTTTTACTATTGTGAATGGTGCTGCAATGAAGATTCACATACATGTGTCTTTATGGTAGAATGCTTTATATTCCTCTTGGTATATACCCAGTAATGGGATTGCTGGGCTGAATGGGGAGTTCTGCTTTTGGCTCTTTGAGGAATTACCATACTGCTTCCCACAATGATTAAACTCATTTACACTCCCACCAACGCTGTAGAAGTGTTCCCTTTTCTTCTCTGCAACCTCACCAGCATCTGTTATTTTTTTTTTACCTTTTAATAGTAGCCATTATGACTGGTATGAGATGGTACCTCACTGTGGTTTTGATTTGCATTTCTTTAATGGGCAGCAATATTGAGCTTTTTAAAATATGCTTGTGGGCTGCATGTATATCTTCTTTTAAAAAATGTGTTTGCTTTCCACCTCGGACCCGAATGAATGGCTCCCGCAAAGAAGGGTGGCGAGAAGAAAAAGGGCTGTTTTGCCATCAACGAGGTAGTGACCCGAGAATACACCATCAACATTCATAAACGCATCCATGGAGTGGGCTTCAAGAAGCGTGCCCCTCGGGCACTCAAACAGATTCGAAAGTTTGCTATGAAGGAGATGGGAACTCCAGATGTGCGCATTGATACCAGGCTCAACAAAGCCGTCTGGGCCAAAGGAATAAGGAATGTCCCATACCGAGTCTGTGTGTGGTTGTCCAGAAAACGAAATGAGGATGAAGATTCACCAAATAAGCTCTATACTTTGGTTACCTATGTACCTGTTACCACTTTCAAAAACTACAGACAGTCAATGTGGATGAGAACTAATCGCTGATCGTCAAATAAACTTTAAAAATTGCTAGCAACAACAACAACAAAATGTCCGTTTGAGTCCTTTGCCCACTTTTTAATGGGGTTGTTTTTCTCTTACAAATTTGTCTAAGTTTCTTATAGATGCTGGATTGATCTTTGTCTGATGCAGTTTCCAAATATTTATATAAGTTGTCTGTTTACCCTGCTGATAGTTTCTTTTGCTATGCAAAAGCTCTTAAGCTTCCTTAGATGCCACTTGCCAATTTTTGCTTCTGTTGCTTGCTATAGCTTTTGATGTCTGTCATGATATTCTTGCCCATGCCTCCAGGCAGAATGATATTGCCTAGGCTGTCTCCTATAACTCTCACATTGTTTAAGGGTCAACTGTAATGTCATGACTGAAGGAAAAGATATTTCATTGTTGATTATTTTTAAAGATTCCTTCTCACTGGTTAGGTGTAAAATTATTTAATCAGAAAAGGAAAAAGTCAATGGAAGTATAATTCTTAGTATGCTTTCCAGACTTCAAGCTGAAAGTACTATGCTTCAACAGCATTTGATAGACAATCATGTCACTAACCATCCACATATCTATTTTATTTTGGGTACACATTCATGACTTCCACTGAACTGAAATGATTTGTGGAGAAGACCCAGATGGTCATCTGCCTGCCTTGACAGCTGTCAGTCAGCTGTGGCCAAATAACCCACCCTACTTGACCTGGTGTGTTTTGTGTGAACTGCATTCTTTCTTAAATTAAAAGTAGACTTACTTTAAATGGCTGGCTTTCTTTTAAAGAACAAAGTTTTTCTTTTTTTTTGAGACGGAGTTTCACTCTTGTTACCCAGGCTGGAGTGCGATGGCGCGATCTTGGCTCACTGCAACCTCCGCCTCCTGGGTTCAGGCAATTCTCTTGCCTCAGCCTCCTGAGTAGCTGGGATTACAGGCACGCGCCACCATGCCCAGCTAGTTTTTTGTATTTTTAGTAGAGACGGGGTTTCACCATGTTGACCAGGATGGTCTCGATCTCTCGTGATACGCGCCACCATGCCCAGCTAGTTTTTTGTATTTTTAGTAGAGACGGGGTTTCACCGTGTTGACCAGGATGGTCTCGATCTCTCGTGATCTACTCTCCTCAGCCTCCCAAAGTGCTGGGATTGCAGGCTTGAGCCACTGCGCCTGGCTTTTTTTTTAAAAAACTTTACTATTCAAAATTTACAAAACTAAGTAAGAGTAAAACAAATCTACATTTTGTCCCTGGATTGATAGAAGACAAAAACATTGTGTGGGAAAGCTGGAGTTGATGACGAATGAGATTCTGAGAATAAAAATCCCTGGTACATAGTTGAAGTTTCAGAGTCAACTTCAGATTTTCAAGGATCATAAAATAGATAACCTCATACTACCATCTCCAACAGATAAAAGGCACCAGATAATATCTGTGTTCCAGTGAGAAAGAACAGAAAATTGGCTGAGTTCTGTCACTGACAAAACTTAGTGGAAAGGAGGAATCTGGAAGGTGGGAGGGTGAAGGGATCCCGGACTTCCGGGGTAGGGAGGGGCTGTGCTTCAGCCTCCCCCTCTCACTGCCCCTCCCCCATCAGGGGCCCTTTGTGATGTGAAGGCCCCAGCTCTGTGATGCAGGCCTGGGCCCCAGTCCCTAGTCTCCAATGGTATGCCCAGAGCTCAATCTGTGGGCTGTGCTGAGCCTCTGAGGGCCTCCCACCTGGGCCTGGAGCCTCCTCTGATCTCCTGGGAAGCAGAATCCTACCTGACAGCTCAGGTGTGCCTGCAGGCCTGAGCCTGGGTGTTCGTCGAGTAGAGGAGCACCTCTACCATTAGTTATATTATATTATATATTATGCATAATGTATATTATAGTTTATATATGAAACATATATATATATATATATATATATATATATATATTTCCTCATATAGTAAATCACTCTTTGTGGTGGGTTTTATTGTTTGTTTGTTTGTTTTTTGAGATGGAGTCTCACTCTTGTTGCCCTGGCTGTAGTGCAATGGTGATCTCGGCTCACTGCAGCCTCTGCTTCCCAGGTTCAAGCAGTTCTCCTGCCTCAGCCTCCAGAGTAGCTGAAATTACAGGCACCTGAACCACGCCCAGCTAATTTTTTTTATTTTTAGTAAAGACAGGGTTTCACTATGCTGGCGAGGCTGGTCAAACTTCTGATCTCAGGTGATCCACCCTTCTTGGCTTCCCCAAATGCTTGGATTACAGGCGTGAGCAACTGCGTCTGGCCCCCTCTTTGTGTTTTTCTAAGAAGAAAAGCAGTTTATCATCCACTTAAACCTGAGTGGGAGGAAGCACACTGCTTCCTGAGCAAGAGGAGAGAGCTGTGAGGTTTGTGAGCGCTGCGGCTGGACTGGGGGCGGAGAGCGAGAGCTGGTCTCAGCCCCTCGCCCTTTCTTCTCTCCCAGGGTCATCTTCTGTCCCAGTGTCGAGATCAGTGGAGGGGGAGGCCCAAAGGCAGGAAGAAAAATATCAGTCTGAAAGGTAAGGCTCTGCCGGGGCACACTACAGTTCATTTGATCTCATCTGTCCCTGGAGAGAAGCGACTCTGTCTGAGGAAGTCAATTGAAGAAGCCTGAGGTGGGGCTCCTAGGAAGGAAATCAGAACCCCGGGTCCCTCTCAGATTCCGTGCTGGCATGAAACCATGGTGGGCCAAGGACTGGGTGTTCCCCAGCAGGGCACAGTGTAGGGGGAGGAGACCAATGCCTGTCTGAATCAGGAGGGGGGTGAGGGGGCTGTGGACAGCTGTTCAACTCTGCTAAGGCTGATTCCTCTTTGGGAGCACCCCAGTCCTTTCTCCTGACAGGCCTGGAGGGGGCTTGGGACTTGTTTTCACAGCTGCAGCGGCGAGACACTGCCCCTTCCCTGCATCCTTCCTACCGGGCTGGGATTCGACCCCAGGGGCCTTAAGGCAGCCTGGAGCTGACCTGGGATGGGGACACCAGGGGGAAAGAGGATGGGAGCAAAACCCTTGACCAAGGGGTAGGAGAAGAACGGGGAGTCTGGGTGCAGTGCAGTGGAGGGGCGTAGGAGAATTGTGGAGTCTGGGTGTGGGGTGGTGGAGGCGCAGAGGAGAATTGGGCAGTAAGCGTGTGGGGTGGTGGAAGGGCAAGGAGGAGAATTGGGGAGTCTGGGTGTGAGGTGATGGAGGGGCATAGGAGGAGAATTGGGGAGTCAGGGTGTGGGGCGGTGGAGGGGCACAGGAGGAGAATTGGGGAGTCAGTATGTGGGGTGGTGGAGGGGCATAGGAGGAGAATTGGGAGTCAGGGTGTGGGGCGGTGGAGGGACATAGGAGAATTGGGGGGTCTGGATGTGGTGCGGTGGAGGGGCATAAAAGAATTGGGGAGTCTGGGTGAGGGGCATAGGAGGAGAATTGGGGGGTCAGGGTGTGGGGCGGTGGAGGGGCATAGGAGAATTGGGGAGTCAGGATGTGGGGCGGTGGAGGGACATAGGAGAATTGGGCAGTCAGGATGTGAGCGGTGGAGGGGCATAGGAGAATTGGGGAGTCTGGGTGTGGGGCGGTGGAGGGACATAGGAGGAGAATTGGGAAGTCTGGGTATGGGGCGGTAGGGGGCATAGGAGAATTGGGGGGTCTGGGTGTGGGGTGGTGGAGGAACATAGGAGGAGAATTGGGGGATCTGGGTGTGGGGTGGTGGAAGGGCTGGGGCCCACGTGTCCACTCTGCCCTATGGCCCTACCTGCTCCTCACTACAGCTTGTGCCTCCTGTCTCCTGCAGCATCCTGGGGCGGCATCCTAAGAAAGGTGACTTTGGTCAGCTCTCTGGTCCAGATCCCCCAGGTGAGAAGTGCAAAAGAGCTCCTGATGGAGCCTCCCAGTCCCCTCAGGAGCTGATGGAAGATACCATTCCTGTGCTTTCCTCATTAGCTTCCCCGAATCCTCAAACCCAGCATCCTTCACCTCTGGTCTCCACCCCATCACCAAGACCAATCGCCACCTCAGTCTCCCCTCTGAGTGCCTCCCAACCACCAGAGCCTTCCCTTCCCCTGGAATACGCCTCACCCAAGCCACTTGCACTTTTCCCTAACCCACCACACACCCCTGATCCTCTGGCCTGCTCTCTTCCTCCTCTGAAAGGCTTCATTGCTCCTCCCCTGCGGGACTCCACTCTGACGACTCCATCTCACTGTGACTCAGTGGTGCTTCCATTGGACACCATCCATCAAAACTCACATCCGTGTGAGGATTTGGTGACTTCTGGCCCAGCCATCTCAGGCCTTGGTGGCTCAAGCAGTCATATCTCTGTGCCTGCATTCTGGTGTCAGGAAACTACCAGAACCTGGTGCATCTCCAACCCATCAGTCCAGCAAGATCATCTTTCCTGCCACCCACCAGAAACCTCATCCTTGGGAGACCCCACAAACAGTCAGATGGAAGCTGATAGGCCCTTTTTGCTCAGCTCTGATGGCCAGAATGTTGTGGGAATACAAGTCACAGAAAGAGCCAGGATCAACATTCGGGAGGAAAAAGAAAAAGATGGATCATTTCCAAAACAAATGAACACGGAAAAGCACTTGAATTCTTTGGGGAAGTCTCTGCACAGCGAATCCCTAGTGGCTAATGCCTTGGTGTCTGAGAGATCTTATACTTTACAGTCTCCTCCTTTCTTGTTCAATGGCATTCCCAATGTCCGCCCAGTTCAAACAGAGACTACAATGTCTCCACGGCTTTTCCAGGCCCAGCGCCTGTCCCATATGAGGCCTGAGTCCCAACCCTTTAATTCACCCACACCCCAATTCCAGCTCTCACCTATGGCTCAGGCGGAGGCTCAATCCTCTTTCCCAGTCCAGTCTCCTGCTCTTGCATCCCTGATTAATAATTCTGGAGTAGCTTGCCCTGTGTCGCAGAATAAGATGCAAGTTCTCACCCTACCTGAAATGCAGCGCCTTGAATGGTCTTCTAAACAACTAGAAGGTGGGTTGGCTTTACCCTGTAGGGCCCAAAAACCTCAGGATGTCTTTAGCGCCTCCACTCCTAACCTTCCCCAGGACAGCTTGACAGCAATCATTCCTGAGAACTTTCCAGTCAGTCCTGAACTCCGGAGGCAACTGGAGCAACACATTCAAAAGTGGCTCATTCAACACCGGAGCAACCTGGGAATGACCCAAGAGTCTCCCGATCTGATGCAGCCTCAGGAGAAATTGCCAGGGACAAGTCAGGCCAGGGGCAAACTCAGACCCTTGCCGTTCTCCATGTCCACAGGCAAAAGCAGCAAGGACATACAGAAGGTGACGTTCCAGCTAAAGAGGAATCCGTGCACACCTCTGGGACAGACCCCGCAATATCTAGCCAGGTGCAAGGAAAGCTTCCCAGGGAAGGTTCTGGGGGCAGAACCTCAAGTCTCTGAGGAATCAGAAAGAGACTTGAAGATGCCCTTGAGGAGAGACTTGGAAAGTGATTTATTAAGACGCACAGAGAGAAATCGTATAGAAAACATCCTGAAAGTCCATGTGGGCAGGAAGTTGGGCCAGATCAATACGGGCTTTATCCCCATTTGTGTGCGTCGATCCTGGCTTGCTGTCAACCAGGATTTTTCTGTGTCCAACACCCACATGAAGACCAGCAATCTAGTACCCCCAGAAAGTGGGAGAGCCAGTGTGAACACATCCCAGGGGCTTTCCTTCCTCCATCCGTGCACTCAACAGATGCTGGGACACCATATTGTGAGGTTTTGGGCCAAACACAAGTGGGGCCTACCCCTCAGGGTCCTCAAGCCCATTAAGGTCTTTAAACTGGGAAAAGTTTCATCCTTATCCCAAACACAGCTTGCCAGTCCCTCCTCAGCTACCTATGAATCTAAGCCTAGCTCAAAAGTTGAGAAAGCCACTTTCCTAAGAGAGTCACCACCGGCAGGTCTGAGAAAGCAGGTGCTGACCAAAGCATCTGTTCAGATGCCAGACAGTCTTCTGGTGTCTTCACCCACATTGACACAGTTCCAGACGGCCCCACAAGGGATCCCATCTTGGAATGCCCATGGGTCCTTGAAGCCTCCTCCAGCTGGACAGGAGGACAGGTGGCCTTCTAAGCCCCTCACATGCAGCCTCACAGGCAGCGCCCAGCAGAGCGGGAGCTTAGGAGCCCAATCTTCAAGGACTGGAAAGACCATGGAGGCAGTGCCACAACCCAGAGTCCCCTTGGGAACCTTTATGCTGGCAAACCTCCAAGCCACACATGAGGATGTGAGTGGTTTAGAGGCTCCACAGACCAGTAAAGGCTCTCAACTCCCTAGAATGTCTGTCTCCCACGATCCAGGAGAGCTCTATGTTATGGGAGAGGTTGTTCGTAAATTTGAGCCCAGAATGGCCACCAAGTCAGAGACCCAGCCTCAAGTTTGTGGCGCTGTTGTGCTCCCTCCAGATGGTTTTACTGACATTCCCCTTGCTACAGAGAGTTTGGCTTCTCAAGTGCCCCATGGCCGTCTCCAGAGCATGCCTACCAGGAACATGCAGGCTTCCCGGGAGCAACGTGACCTCATGGCAGCCAGAAGGAGCAACCTGGGGCACAAGGAGCCCAAGAACATGAAATGTCAAGGCTCATGCAAGAGCCAGAGCCGGATGTTTACCCCTACTCACAACAGTGAGAACCCAGCGAAGCCCAACTTAGAAAAACGTGAAGAAAGGCTTGAAGAACTAAGGACTCCCCAACTCACCCCAGTCAGGAAAACAGAAAAAACTCGTCAGGACGAAGACCTCCGGCTGCTGCCGTCAAAGGAACAACCTCCTTCAATAAGCAACTTCGGAAAAAACATCAAACAATTCTTTCAGCAGGTCTTTTCAGTGAAAAAAAGCAAGCCAGTTCCAGTCACTGCCAAGAGCCAGAAAATAGTGAAAAACAAATCACATGCGTACAGCAGCTGTGCTGAAGCCGAGGGGCTCAAGACAGCAGTTGGACACATGCTGGAGAAAAAAATGACACTTTGTCATGAGCAACATGAGTTCCAAGCCCCAGTCTGTGGGTTTCCCTGCAACCGCAGGCCCCTCTTCCACCCGGAACACAGCAGAATGCTGGGCTATGCAGCCAGCAGTCAACAAGCCACTCTCAAGAGCCAGAATTACCCCAACAGAGAGAGGCATATCAGAGATCAAGAGCCTTTGAAAAGTGTCCGGTGCAACAATGAGCAATGGGGCTGGCGACATCCCCAACTCTTGCTCCCCAAGAAGGCCGTCTCCCCAGTCAGCGCCCCTCCGGGCGGACTGAAAACACCCGGTGCCTTCAGCCACCATCACCACTGTCCAAGGCACTGCCATCTTTGGGAAGGAATTTAATGGGGCAATCAACTTCTTTTTTCAGCATTTTTTTTTTTTTTCCAAGTTTTTATTATTTGATTTGGTTTTACACAGTACAAGTAATTTTAAATATTTTATTTTGCATCTTCCTTTTTCTTTCACTAAACAGTATCATGAGCAGTTTTCCATGGCTACATAATCTCCTATCATTTGGTCATATCATAATCTAACAATTTAATAAATATTGGGTCTCATTTTTCTATAATATATACTGTTTCATTTTCCATAATTGTTGAGTGCCTCCTTAATTATTATGGCAGGTTAAAGTATTTTTTTTTTTTAATTGCATTTTAGGTTTTGGGGTACATGTGCAGAACATGCAAGATAGTTGCATAGGTACACACCTGGCAGTGTGATTTGCTGTCTTCCTCCCCTTCACCCACATCTTGCATTTCTCCCCATGCTATCCCTCCCCAACTCCCCACCCCCGCCGTCCCTCCCCTATTCCCCCCAATAGACCCCAGTGTGTAGTGCTCCCCTCCCTGTGTCCATGTGTTCTCATTGTTCATCACCCGCCTATGAGTGAGAACATGCATATTTCATTTTCTGTTCTTGTGTCGGTTTGCTGAGAATGATATTCTCCAGATTTATCCATGTCCCTACAAAGGACATGAACTCATCATTTTTGATTGCTGCATAATATTCCATGGTGTATATGTGCCACATTTTCCCAGTTCAGTCTATCATCGATGGGCATTTGGGTTGGTTCCAGGTCTTTGCTAATGTAAACAGTGCTGCAATGAACATTCGTGTGCATGTGTCCTTATAGTAGAACAATTTATAGTCCTTTGGATATATTTTTTCAGCATTTCATAGAGAAAAACAAGTCCCCAAGAAAAGAAATCACTCTATGTAGAGAAAAAATATTTTCTCTCATGTTCTTACACCCAGAACATTTAATGTTCCACAATAAATAAGTATCTCCTTTTTTTTTCCCCCATAAAAGGGTAATGGCTTTTATTTGTGTCATGCTTGGTGTGGGCTTATTTTCTAGAAGTGACAGGACATGGAGGGATTCTGAGAGTAAGCCCACCTTCATCCTGAGTTTCTTCACTGAAACTTAGGTTTCCATAATACTGTCTTTACACAAAAAAATTCTGAAAACAAGATGAGAAAACCTACGAAGATCCCACTCAGAGATATGGTTCAACCCATCTTTCTACTACTTACTCTCTACCTCAAACTTTATGCAGCTGTAGGAAGAAGGTTTGCAGAGATGTCACAGGACTGAATGTCTCCATGCAGGCTCCAGGAACTGCCAGTCAAGTAGATTCATGTGTCACAAAATAGTGGAAGCTCGGGTGGGAGAGTGTGGGCCCTGAGTTCAGAAGACAGGTAAGTCTTGACCCTGGATAACCTGGGGAAGAGTAGATAATGCTTGCCCTTGGGAAGCCCCTTCTCTCCCTTGCAAAGGCTGGGATGAAGATGGGCCCTCTTAGCTCAGCCTACATACAAAGCACAGAGTCCCCATTCCACTGCCTCTCCCTTTCTTGCACTCTGGAGTGGTGGTGGGGACAGGACTTCCAGCACTGTGGATGTAAAGGTGGGGGTGGTGGTGGGGGGAGGCCTTCACGGAGGCTGCTGAGGACCGTGAGCTCCCCTGCCCAAAATGAGTGAATGACCCTGCTCCTGGGACACCTGCCTTTGCCTATCTCACCTATGTGTATCTCAGCTTCAGAGAAGTAGTTCTGGGTGAATGGGGCAGGGCATGCCTGTGTGTGCAGAGGCTTCCTTCCGATGGTGGGACTCTGTAGAACTACAGCGGGATGCAGACAAAAAATTGAAAAGGAGGCAAAGTGGTGTGAGGGCTCCATAAGTGGTGCCATGACCTGGGAGCCTCTGACATTCCAACCACTTCCACAGGCATAGAGGGCCTATGGCTCATCCTGGCCCCTCCCCAGGGTCTGTCCCTGCTCCAGCTCCCAGACCACAGACCTAAAAACACATTTACCCACAACACAGAGGACCAGACCAGTGAGAAGGCAAAGTGAATAAGGGAAGATGAATTTCTTAACATCTTTAATAAGCTTGCACATAGTAACCTACTGAATTTTTTTTTTTTTTTTTGAGACAGTTACACCCTTTTACCCAGGCTGGAGTCAGTAGTATAATCTCGGCTCACTGCAACCTCCGGCTCCTGGGTTCAAGTGATTCTCCTGCCTCAGTTTCCCAAGTAGCTGAGATTATAGGCACCCAATATCACACCTGGCTAGTTTTTTACAATTTTAATATAGATGGGGTTTTGCCATGTTGGCCAGGCTGGTCTCAAACTCCTGACCTCCAGTGATCTGCCAGCCTTGGCCTCCCAAAGTGCTAGGATTACAGGCATGAGCCACCGCACCTGGCCTACCTATTGAATTTTTAAAAAGATGTGTTGACGATAGGTGAAAAACCAAGGACTGGAAAACCCCAGGCCTGACTCGGGAGTCTGGTGACCTTTAACATACACGTAGCCCCAGGACTGCCCCCCAGGGGACAGGTGGTGACTTAGGAGGACACCAGCAGCTTAGCTGGGGTCACACAGCAAATCTCCCCCTGCTCCTGAGGTCCTTCAAAGTTTCTTTTTTTTTTTTAGCGACTGGAAGGAAATGTATTCCTTTTAGTTCTCTGAAAGAATCTATTACAGGAAATAAGTGATAAATAAAGTCCTAATTCTTTCTTCAGTACAATCTCCTCCTATTTTTTCAGATAGCATAGAGAAGATCAAACTCATCTATGAATCTTTTAGTGAATAATTGAACAAATGGAATTTTGAAATGCTCTTCTATGAATATAACAATCCATTCTTGTCTTAACAAGAGTTGATATAAGACCCATATTCAAGAACTTTCAAATATTAAAAAAAGGTTTGATACTGACCACCACACAGGAAAACAGGAGAGAGAAACACATCTTATCTTTCTGGGTTTTATTTTTATTTCATTTCATTTTACTTTTTAGACTGTAAATTAATCAGAACAACATGCTTTGCTCACAGACAAGGAGGTTTTGGTTACGGTGTTTGAAATGCAACAACATGAAGATGAACAGATGCCTGTGTGTTGTTGGCTGTACGTACACCAAGATGTACATGTTACCAGCAACACACCACTAAGTGTGCGTGCAAAGATCAGGAGAAAGATCAAGCTCCCGATGCAGGACTGAAATCTTAGTGGTCAGATTATATTACAGTAGGTAGAGATTCTGGGATGTTGTCTCTGTCCTCAAATGAGGGGGCATTTTGCAGGCCCGGTAAGCAGAAGGGTTGCGTGCCAATGCTGAGATCCCAGAGAGAATAGGGGTCTATGCCTTGGGGCTGCTGCTGTATGAGGTGAAAGGTGTGAGGGAGAGAGCTCAGGATAGGAGCCTAGGCTAAGGACAATTTCCGTGAAGGGAAGAGAAGATCTACAGTCTGCAGGGGCCTAGAGGTTTAAGAAGAGTGCATCAGGAAGGAAAGAGGACCTAGGGTCAAATGCCATAGAAAGGGATCAATGACAAGAAAAGGTCACTGGATTTTTCATTTAAGAAATCACTGGTGATTTTCAAGAAAGATGTTTCAGTCGGCTCAAGCTGTGATGAAAACAATACCATAGATAGTGTGGCTTAAACAAGAGAAATTTATTTTGGATAAATAAATTTATCCAAATTTATCCTGGAGCCCAGATCCTCCAAGATCAAGGTCCAGCACTGCTGCTTTCTGGTGAGGGCTCTTCCTGGCTTGCAGATGGCTGACTTCTTCCTGTGTCCTCGTATGGCTGGGAGAGAGAGAGTACACATGCAAGCTGTTTGGCGTCTCTTCTTAAAAGGCAGTATACCAGAAAACAAACAAACCCATCAAATAGTGGGCAAGAGATATGAACAGACACTTTTCAAAAGAATACATTTAAGTGACCAACAAACATGAAAAAAAAGCTCATCATCACTGGTCATTAGAGAAATACAAATCAAAACCACACTGAGATACGATCTCATGCCAGTTAGAATGGTGATCATTAAAAAGTCAGGAAACAACAGATGCTGGAGAGGATATGGAGAAATAGGAATGCTTTTACACTGTTGGTGGGAGTGTAAATTAGTTCAACCATTGTGGAACTCAGTGTGACAATTCCTCAGGATCTAGAACTAGAAACACCATTTGACCCAGCAATCCCATTACTGGGTATATACTCAAAGGATTATAAATCATTCTACTATAAAGACACATTCACATGTATGTTTATGGCAGCACTGTTCACTGTCCAAGCAAAGACTTGGAACCAACCCAAATGTCCTTCAAGGATAGACTGGATAAAGAAAATGTGGCAAATATACACCATGGAATACTATGCACCCATAAAAAAGAATGAGTTCATGTCCTTTGCAGGAACATGGATGAAGCTGGAAGCCATCATTCTTAGCAAACTAACACAGGAACAGAAAACCAAACACCACACGTTCTCACTCATAAGTGGGAGCTAAACAATGATAACATATGGGCACAGGGAGGGGAACATACACACTAGGGTCTATTGGGGCAAAGGGAGAGATGGCATTAGGAGAAATACTTAATGTAGATGATGGGTTGATGGGTGCAGCAAACCACCATGGTACATGTATATCTATGTAACAAACCTGCATGTTCTACACATGTATCCTAGAACTTAAGTATAATTAAAAAAAAAAAAAGAAAAAAAAAGGCAATATACCTTCTTGAGGGCCTGCTACTATTTGAATGACTGTCCCCTCCAACTCTCATGTAGAAATTTCATCCCCAGTAATGGAGATGGAGTCTAGTGGGTCTGAGTCATGGGGGTAGATCCCTCATGAGAAAATTAGTGCCCTCCCTTGCAGGTAAGTTCTCACTCTGTTAGTTCCCTGGAGAAGGAGTTGTTGAAAGAGCCTGGCACATCCTCCCTCTCAGGCCATGTGATCTCTGCACAGCTGGCTCCCCTTTCCCTCCTGCCAAGAGTGGAAGCAGCCTGAAGCCCTCACCAGAAGCAGATGCCAGTGCCAGGCTTCTTTACAGCCTACAAAACCATGAGCCAAATAAACCTCTTCTGTTTATAAATCACCCAGCCTCAGATATTCTTTTCTAGCAACACAAAGGGACTAAGACAGGGCCCCACTCTTCTGACTTCATCTAATCCCGATTCTCTCCTAAATGCCTCATCTCCAAATACCATCACAGTGGGGGACAGGGCTTCAATATATGAATTTGGGGAAGGGGGCACCACAGTTAAG